TCTGATCCTATTGATTTGTTTATCATGCTTTCGAACTATTCCTGTGCTCTATTGTGAATTTAGCTTTGTGGTTGCTCTGCAAAGTGCCCATGCCAAGGTTTATCATTTACACGGTTTAATCATGCAATAATGTACAAGTTTGGGAAATATAAAAAGCTTATTATAAGTATGACGTCTACAGTAATCATCTTTCCATGAAATCCCAGACGAGAAATTTCTTGCTAATTTAGTATGTCAGACATTTTTACTCATTTTCCTGAAATGTTGCCACTCGGTTGATAATTTTGTTTACAGATACTGCAATAAAGAAGATGCTTGCGACTCTTGGTGATCCCTTCACTCGATTTTTAGAACCTGAAAAGTTTAAAAGTTTGCAGGTAGGAGATGCAACCTTTTTTTAGATCGGTTCATTTGTCTATATGGAGAAGAAATTCCATATAAAAATTTAGCTGTGACATTCACTTATAATCTCCTTCTGGGCATAAGAAAGAAATGCTCTAAACTCTAGTAATATCTTCTTTGAAGGCAGTCTGGTACTCAAGGTGCTCTTACAGGTGTAGGACTGTCCATTGGTTATCGCACCAATGTAGATGGACCTGCTGGGCTTGTTGTCATTTCAGCTGCACCAGGGGGCCCTGCAGAAAGAGCTGGTATTACTTCTGGTGATGTTCTTCTGGCAATTGATGATACTACCACAGAATCCATGGGTATATATGATGCGGCAGAGCGATTGCAGTAGGTTTCTCCCCTTACCATAAGATTAAACGGTGTAACATTACGTGTTGTCAGTAGATTAATAGATAAAAATTACTAAGGAGCTCGATATACCCTAAAATTTCTTTGATCTTAAATATTTTTATTCGTTTATGATTCATGTTGGTTAATGAAGTATGAAACATACGGAGTGTTTCACTTTGTTACTTCATCATAGGCCATCACAATAAGCAACATTGAAGGCACACAATTTGATTATCTGTGAATCTATTTAGAAACTTTTGATTAAGAAAGACCCAATTTTCTAACTCATGTTTAGTTGGTTAAAGTTGTTCCTAGAATTTCTTTTGAAGCACTAATTTCTTGGTGTATATTTAATTGTATTTGAATTAACTTCTAACAAGAGTGATTGCAGAGGACCAGAAGGAAGTTCTGTGCAATTGACCGTTCAAAGTGGCCCAAGTGTAAAGCAACTTGATTTAGTGTAAGATTATTTCCACATTTTATCTTACGTTTTTTTAACGTGGAGCTGAACTAGGGAGCCAAAAGACCTGTGTTCCTAAAGAACCTCCTGGCATGTTATAGCTTACTTATGAGTTATGCTGCATTAAGTATGTTTTTCCCTCAAATGTTCTGACGGTTCTAGAACTGATAGAATCATACCTTCCAGGCGAGAGAAAGTTGCAATAAATCCAGTGAAGTCCAGAATCTGTGAGTTGCCTGGCTCAGGGGACGACTCCTCTAAGATTGGTTACATCAAGCTTACGTCATTTACTCAAAAGGCATCTGGTAAGAAAGATCATTTGTCCTTTATTGCTGCGGCTCTACATTGTAGTTTGACTCTCAGAGACAATTTATTCTAAGAATTTAAACAAAAAACTTCCTTCATCCATTCTACTTATCTGCACATCATTTGAAAACAACAATACGTTTAGTACATTGTCTTGTATCATTCTCAGTCGTCAAGGGATTCCAAGGGGTAATGTGCTTATCTGGTTATGAGAATTATGTCCTTTGCAGGTGCTGTGAAAGAAGCGATTGATTAGGGGTAATGTGCTTATCTGGTTATGAGAATTATGTCCTTTGCAGGTGCTGTGAAAGAAGCGATTGATTATTTAAGGAGTAACAAAGTTAATGCCTTTGTACTTGACCTTCGGGATAATAGGTGATTAGTTTTCACTTTTCAGCACTTGAAGTTTTCCTTTTAGCACACCTCTTGAACTGTGGAACTTGTTGCAGTGGTGGTCTTTTTCCAGAAGGAGTTGAGATTGCCAAGATTTGGTACGTGCTATTTGGGTATATTATTTGATGTGTTATTCATGCTGTTAGTTTCATTAATGGTGTAATATGACACAATGGATAATCCAAGTATATTACATCTGTAAAATTATCACTTTGCATTTAGGGAAAGGAGGTCTCTTGTAGCAATAAAAAGGCTAGACAAGTTTGGAACTTGATGTCGTAAAGAGATCGTCTCAAATGGAAATCAAATTCTATGGGAGGTAGGAAAGTTGCACTTAAGAGTTAAAACTGAATCAACTAACGCCTCTTTTTGAAGCGTGTGGTCAAAGAAGCAAAGGAATAAGATTCAAAGGGAATAATCAATCCCAAATTTTCTCCAAAAACGAATGCGAGATCCATTTCCTGTTGAAAACTAAAGAACTTGCTTTGTTCAGCAATGAGAAATGGATTCCCATGTGAGATCTCACGTCGGTTAGAGAAGGGAACGAAACATTCTTTATAAGGGTGTAGAAACCTCTTCCTAGTAGACGCATGTTAAATGTTCTTTTGAGAGGAAGCCTAGAAGGGAAAGCCCAAAGAGGACAATATCTACTGGCAGGTGGCGTGGGCTTGGGCTTGAGGAGTTACATCCCAGGGCTCTTAGATGTGCTTTTTAGAAACCACATGTTCTATCGGCTGACAAACATATTTATCATGATAACCTTGTGGGACAAAGAATCTGACTATTGAAGGGAAAGTTCCATTACCACTTGGCTAGGTCAGGTAGTTTCCTATATGTTTGATTCCTTATTCCTGCCCTCGTTAAACCCCTAGTAGAATGGTCTGTCTTTTTAAGTTTGTTTGGATATAGTTTAATGAATCGAGTAGACTAATATTATTAGGTGACATTGATGTTGTGCATGTGTGAGATCTATCATTTCCATCTTTTCTCTTTTCCATTGATCATTTCATTTGCGATTTGGTCGGATCTCAATAATTTATCATACTATTAACATAGTACTTGACATACAAGGATTCAAAAGTTGACAGTGAATCATTGTAGCTAGTAGAATGTCCTCTTAACGCTCTGCAGCCTGGTTTCATATTATCTGTTCTTATTCAGGTTGGACAAAGGTGTTATCGTGTATATTTGCGATAGTCGTGGCGTCCGAGATATATATGATTCAGATGGAAGTAGCTCTATAGCAGCTTCAGAACCATTAGCTGTGTTGGTAAACTTTCATCTCCATTCTTTCTCTAAATAAAGGCTCCACCAAGTATCTCATCTATTCTTACTATTTACTTCATCATCACGACCTCCTTTTCTATGGATTCCTCTAAAGACTCCTTTAATATTTCTGTTACAATCACGATTATCCTCTTATTCTGCATTCTTATGCTATAGGGTTCGTAGCATTTTGTCTTATATCGGGACGTTTAATTGTAGTGTACGAAAATGCAAGCCTTTTTAAACTTTATTTTGATCGTTTGAACATAACGCTTATATTAGGTGAACAAGGGAACTGCTAGTGCGAGTGAAATACTAGCCGGAGCATTGAAGGACAACAAGCGTGCTATATTATTTGGAGAACCAACCTATGGGAAAGGGTAAGAACTTTTGGCTGCCCCAAAACATGATTAGATGTAAGTATATCCTAATTCCTTACAACAATTCACATTCTTCTCTGCAGCAAGATTCAGTCAGTCTTTAAACTATCAGACGGTTCTGGCTTGGCTGTGACAGTGGCTCGTTACGAGACACCAGCTCACATCGACATCGACAAGGTCTCTCTATCTCTTATCCCTACGAACACTTCTCAGGAAGACAACGTTCTTAACGCGCCTGGATATTCTGCAGGTAGGAGTGATTCCAGACCGTCCGCTACCAGCATCATTCCCAAAGGATGGAGAGGGTTTCTGTAGCTGCTTTGAGGATGCAGCTTCTGCTTGCAATGTCAACAGGTTACAACTATTTTCAAGATGATGAAGGTTTTTTTTTTTCTTTTTCTTATTTAATTCTTGAATTGGCATTATTTGATTTGGATGGTCAGTTTATGTTGATTGGTAAAACATTCTTTACATTTATAATCCTATAGATTTCTGTAATAGGAATTATTCACGAGTTAAATACAAACACAATACGTTTGATTTCTATTATAATGAAATCAAGTCACAGGTCAACATTCTCAATCCCATCTTTTATCGTTTTCCAAAACGTAGAATTTATGAATTCTTTCCTTGCTTTAATGAACCAAAACTGTAGTGTTCAAAATGCCTCCAACAATGAGCTTCAACCCTGAAAGAACATAAACTAATCAAAGTCGGGAGGCCTAACTCCGAACAAGGTGGAGAATCTTCGTTGAAACGGTATATAGGAAAAGTAACAAAGAGACTTTTCTCTCGGTTGGCTCTGACCCACCCAATTCAACTTTATATTGAAATTAGAAAGTAGAAAGAAAGAAGGGAGAGGAACCTGATTTCATTCTATCTTCGTCTACTCGGTAAATAGTAGTCTTTCTCCTAAACTCAATCACCTATTCTCGTCCTGTTCATCCTTTTCCTATTTATTCTTTAACTATAAACGAAGAAAAATCTCCCCAAAACATATTTTCACACCAGATCTTTACCTTGATACTATCAAAATGTGAAGGCAAGAATAGAGAAAACCGTTGTGTGCGTATCTAATTAGAATGATTGGAAATGGAAGACGAGATGACTTCAATTCAGTTGCAAAGGTTCATCCGGGCTCTACTTCAGTTCTTTAATATTTACATCTTTTTTCATAAATATCAATTTGATTATTGTCATTAACATTTCTAATAAATAATTTAATAGAAATATGATATACAAATGAACGTGGTTATGAAGTAATATGCAGTTTCTAAACATAAAATTTCAGACATTTTTGAAGACAAAATTCAAACACTAAATTTCCACCCCCTACGTCATCAAGTGGTTAAGTTCTTGAGTGGAGTGACATTTAGAACTGAACTTAGAAAGAAATTCTTGAGGTGGGGCTGTGACAAGACATGAAACCGCCTATGGCTTTGCTGTATCCTGCAATCTTCCATGCAAAATCATGACAAAAACAAATTACACTTCATCATGTCCATCCAATTCAATTCAAACGTCTGGAAATTTTAGGCAAACAAAGCACATACAATAAACTCGCCCTTCACATTTTCTTTTCTTTTTTTTTTTAATATCTCATCTGTATATGTAATTCCAGGTAAAGATCAAATCATCTAAGCACCAGAGCAGTTTTAAAATTACAAACAGAAAAATACAAGCTTGTACAACAATGGTGCGCCATACTGAATTTTAGACATGCCTCTCTATGAGGGAATTTCCAGTAATACTCGGTGGATCGATCTGTTCGCCTTTGCTCCGAGGCTACTTGAAAAGCACACGCAAGCACATCCACCCTGAATCACAGTTTAGACGTTAGGATTTACGAGTTCGGAGCTAACCCCAAGCCGAAACATATAATAATTGTAGTTTCAGGGAATCTATTGGGGATTTTGGCAGAGTCGAGCATGCACCAACCAAACGAATTCTTTGAACAACTATCCCAAAAGTTTGCAGTAAATTTACAGATGTAAGAAAATGGGAAATAGAAGATAATAACACGAGACGCCAATGGGAAGAGAAAAACAAAGGCTTCTTGAATATCGTTCACCGTGCTTAAACCATTTGGAATCAAGTCCCAAATGCAGACCTTAGTACTTGGGGGGACTCCCATGAAAGGTTCGAGTTTTTTATCGGTTGAGTCCAGGAAATAGAATTAGATACTGAGATCAGAATGTTCTCGAAAGTCTATGAGCAAACGTATGGATCGGAGAGTTTCGCGCCTCTCTAGTAGCCTGAATTGTACAGCTGAGAATAAAGTTAATAACTCTTAGTAAATTAGTTTATGAGTAGTAGCTAAAGGGTTGACCCAAACATATGGTCTCGATTACGAGGAAGCCCTTATTTACCCCACCTAGTCACGGTTGAGCTTGTGCACAAGAAGTTTATAGCGGGTTCAGAGAAAGGTAAGAGTTGGCAATGCATGTATGGGAGAATTTAAGGAACCTCTAATAATAGCCCGAGTTATACAGCAAGAATAGAAGGCGTTAGATACCTGACGATGATAAACGCAATTTTTTAATAACGAAATATTCCATATGAACTCACTTTCTTTAGTTTGGGAGCTATCTCATGATATAACCTATAATTCATAACGAAGAAGGCTATATGTTTAACATGTTATGTTCGATCCTAACCGAAAGAAGTGATAGTAACCAAAATAGATATGAAAAGTATGGTGACTAATAAGGAAAAAAAAACCTTGAGAATGTGAAAGAGACACGAACCGGTCAAGCTGCGCTGAATCTCATGTTGTGATTGACAATTACTAGCATTCTAAGGCATATGTCGGAACCTACAACCGAACAAAATAAGAGAAACAAAACAAGTTACGACTTACTAGTCTTCTAAGATTATTACGCACAGTAACTATATAGCGATCTGCCAGTAACTGAACTCGCCACTAAAAAGTAACATTTCAATGCAGAGAGGCTATGCTGGTTCCAAGTACATAATATGTTATGGTCATATGTTCTATACCTCAAACATGTTTTCATCAAGAAAACCACCATATGTTGAGTGATTACAGGCTTGAGAACTATCATATTGAAGGATTCTCAACTTCCCCTCCTGTATGGACAGCCATAATAATTGTATTAAAAGAAATTAAATAAACAATAATCACAATCTATAAAAAAAATATTTAGCAGCTGACCTTGGTCCCGTAGACAACACCGCCTCCCACCGAGGGATGAAAACAAGCCACATTTACCTCGTCCTCGGCACTCGGAAGAACTCTCACAAGTTCCATATCAGAAACTCTGTAAACCTAAGTTGTCAAAGCCAACTTCAGTCAGTTAAGACGAACATTAAATGAACATAAAAAGTCTATATATGCTAAGTATTATATATCGCATAATAAAACTATCTTAACCGTGTCAGGATTATCATATCTTAACTGGTGAAAATGGCCTTTGGAACAGTGCATTTTTCATCAGAGCTAAAGAATGTACACATGATTAAAATAAAATCTAGATCAACAATATGTGGGGCGGGGGGGTTCGAATATCTGACATTTCGGTCCAAGTAACCTCAATTAAACAAAAGAAATGAACCTTACCTCAAGTATAGTGTATATGGGCACAGTTGTCTCTCCATCTACAACAACACTTTTAAGAAGTGAACTATGGCGACGGCCGTAAGCAAGTAATAGATGTTCTGATGTGGGAGAGAACTGCAATTATTGCAAGTAGAAGCTTCAGTAAACTCAGTAAGTACAACTTATTGCCTCATTTTCACGATGAAAAAATTGGAGCTTTAGGGAAAGAAAGAATAAAAAAGATGCAAAGGAAACAAAACAAGAAAGGAAAATCACAGAAAAGAGGCTAATGGGTTTACACAACTAGTTTCTTTGGAGGTTTTCAATTTTATAAAAAGCTAAGCCCTCGATTAGATGAATCAAAGAATATACGTTTAAGGTGCACACTCATGATCGTTAAAGGTGCTTAAAGGAAAACAGTCCTTATCATTTACAAACCTGTATAGATGTTAGACAATGAGCAGCTCTTATTGCTCGAGATGCTAGTACCATGCCAAACCTATATAAAGAAAACAAGGGTGAGAGATAAATTTAAGTTATAAAAAGGAAAGATATCAAGCCATCTTCAATCATAATGTGAATTGTGAAGAAAGATTACGTTGCCTCCTCCAGAGAGTATATCCGAAGCTCGTACATGACCTGCTGAGCCGAAACTGGGTGTCGTGTAGGTGATGTTGCAGCACCAGTTGCATCATTATTAGCATGGCTTTGGAATCCAGGATCAGCTTCCATATGTGGCAACATACATGCCACACATGCTGCCAAAAATCTCCCACAAGGTGAAAAATGGGCACCCATTTCACTGCAACATGATTGGTGGAAAAATGTAGATGGTTAGCGAGACAAGAAACCAAGAACGGATCAAAATCAATTATTCGCAACATTCCATAATGTAAATCTCCCAAATAAGGCGCGTATATATATTAAAACTAGTGGGAAGATACGGCCATCAGGATTCCAACTCCACAATTATAGAAGTGTAGAAGTAAAATAGTGAGTTAAGAAACAGATTGATATTGCATGAGACTGCAGAAGAGCATACCTACAAAGAACGGCATGCGGAATGATTAACCGACATCTTTCATCATCCAGTGGAGCACAAGGATTTTTAACATCATGTGACCATATCCTGAGTTTCACAGTACAAGGTAACTCAGCAGCTGCTACTGCTGCCAAAGAGGCAGCAAGCTCAGACTGAATTCTACTGACAATAGGTTGTGGATCACTTTCATCAGGAATTGAGGTACTCATACTAGCACCTTCATCTGACCCACTTACAGGCACGGGCACACGAGAACGTAAAGAACGATTTCTTGAACCAGATCTCCTACCTCTGCTTTGGCTAACACTGCTAGGAATTAACGAAGTAAGTGGAGCATGAATTCCTCCTATATCAGATGCTGCAGAAGAATGTTCACGAACATCATCATTGTGTGGCCGAAGAGCAGGTTGACTAGCTTGACTTTGGCCAATTAACCACCCTTGCAAGAAAGGAAGTTCCCAAGGGTCATTAAAAGGAAAATTTTGATTATTCCTCACTTCGTTCTGCACTTCCATATTCTCTGAAGCATCCACCGCAGTTTCTGAAACTTCTGTTTCCATTTCATTCGAGTAAGGATTGGTTCCAGTTTCTTCTGGAACTGGTGATGAGCTATTAGGATCAATGGGTGACAACACAAGTTCATACTGTCCTGACGGTGTTGAATATGTTAAAAGCCGTACTGAAGCAGACGGATCAACTCTTTGTAATCTCCCTGCACCAGGTTCTGCTTCTGTTCGATGCATCGACATTCTCCTATTTTCTTTAGAAAATGAAGGCCATATCAACAGAGGAAAGGACATCAAAGGTAGGCCATCCACCAAACTAGAACGATCAGAAGATTGTGCATCGGCAAAATATACGGTAGGAGGTGGATATTGCACATATCCAGGAGATGTTGCTAATGTTATGGCAGATTCTGATGTATCAAGATCATTGACCTTCAGAACAGGTTAAGTAGAAAAATTAGGATGAGTGATTGAAATGAGGCAAATTTAAAGGCAATAAAAATAACATACCTCAGCAGTTAAAAGGAATTGGGCTGCATGTGGGTGAAAATGCACTGCACGCAACGATCGCCGTGTCCTTAAAACAATGGTTGGTGAGGGTGTCTCCCCTCTTTTGTTGTAGTGCCAAATGTAAAGCTGCATAAAATTTAATATCAAGGTTGTATATTAGAATACACTTACTTGGGTGGTTTGAAGTTCCTTTTTTGACATGTTAGGCTTTTCAAATTGTCAGACACATTGTAATAATGAAAACTATCGAGAAGTTCCTTCTCCATCTGCCTTTTTGCAAGAAGGAGAGGTTTTAGCGGCAGGCGGGAATTTGTGTTTTGTTATGGGGTTCGTGGGGCGGGATGATTAATAGAACTTTTAGAGGGTTGGAAAGGGATCCTGGCGATGTTTGATCCTTGGTTAGATTTAATGTTTCTCTTCGGATGTTAGTGACTACTTTTTGTAAGTATTCGCTCGGTCTCATTTTACTCGCTTGGAGCCCCTTCCTTTAGGTGAAATTGTTTTGTGGGCTTGATTTTTTTATATGCCCTTTTATTCTAAAAAAAAACTTGGTTCTTTATGGAAAAAAAAAATGCAAAAACAAAGAATGCACTTACTGATTGATATATATCTAATTTCCCATTTAAAACCTCACCTTATGACCCGATGCCACAGCGAGAAGCTCTCCTTGGGCGTGGAAAGCTATGGATGCAATGGGACGATCTGCATAGGGGGAGAACAAGGTTGAGCAATAACACATATATCCTATACAGAATTCTCAACTATCCAGCCATTTTCACAAGGCTATACAAAAAAGTTGGAGAAGGAAATTACAGAAATCACGAGAGCCAATGCATTCTGCCGTGTTTGCATCCCAAAGTCGAACATCATAATCCAAGCTTCCACTAGCAAGAATTTCAGGGCGCAGTGGATGGAATCTGACCTGAAAGATTACCGGAGGATGAATAGAAGATTCGAGCAACTTGAGTCGCACAGAAAGATTTCTTATCAACAAAGAGAGAGAGAGAGAGAGAGCTTTCACGCTTACCACCCAAGGGGTTCTCCGATGACCACTCAGCACCTTTAAGCAGGTCCCAGTTTGGCAATCAATGATTTTTACAGTATGATCTCCACTGCAGGCACGAAAACAAAAATAGTAAAGGAACGTCTTCACTAAATTAAATTAAAATCGAGCTTCATCACATCACCATAGCAAAAATAAAACAGGAATCAGCAACTCACTGTGTAGAAGCAAGCGTTCTCCCATCAGGGCTGAATGCTGCTGCAATTGTTGACCTTGGAGGAGGCAAAAGCGGACAATATTTAGCTGAAAGATGGCGTAGTGATTCAGCCTCAACCCTGACAAGATTCCAAGTTTAATACCGCATCCCAGGTATGCAAAATATACTTCATTATTTCATTTATTGCATTAGAAGAACAAAATAACTACCATGAGATAAGTCCCTGCTTAGCATCTCTAGCTGCTTCACATCTCGGCCCAACCGAATCACATTGGCGGTCATGAGAATCTCCCCAAAACCTCCTTGATGCACATTTCGTTCGAGGAGAAAGCTCCCTCTGGGCTAAAAGTTGAAAAACATTACTGACTCTGTAAAAGTGAGATAAAAGTTACTGTATAAGATGAATTAGCTTGCAAAAACCAAGAACTCTAAATATTAAATGAACTATCTGAATCTAAACTACACCAGTAGAGTAAAATCCCATCAGCCAAAACAAGTACTAATGTTCCGTGTCCCCCTGATGGTAATCGTAACACTGACAACCATCACAATTAACTATTTACAAGCAATCATGGCTGCTCCCTCCCCTCCACTGACCCGCAAATGCAATGGCAACGATTCCATGCCAACATACCAGTACAGTAAAACAAGAAACTAAAATGAACAAATATATATAAACATTTTCCAAGTTAACTATCAGGCTCGGAGAAACGCATTAAAATCTCATAAATTGAGACCCAAATTTTAAGAAATCTTGTCGAAATTAAGATCTTCACACGACATAAGAAAGACGGCAATCATCCACATAACCGAAATACGAATATCGAATAAAATAATCGTTCCAGTCGCATCATCACCTTTGCCTGCTCGAGGGGTAAGCCGGACCAGGCTGAGAAATGTGAGGCGGCAGCGGTGGGGTCGATGTGGAAGGAGAATTAGAATCGTCAAAAGCCCCAAATGAAGCTCTCATCATTCACCAAAGAAAACGTCATGCTCCAAAATTCTCCGACATTTCGATCGGAAAAGAAGAAATTGCGAGGGAATTAATCCCAATTCAAAGTGAAATGGGAAAGGGGCGTTGTTGTATTAATTTAGAAGCAATGATCGCCGGAGAAGACGGTGAAATTCAGGCGAGGAGGAGCTTCAAACTGGCTAGAAAAGATCTCCGGCAAGAAGACGAAGAAGAAGAAGAGGGCATTCTTGTGAAAAAGAAAACCTAGACGAACAAGAAACGAAACAGAGATCGAAGACAACACCTCCTCTGAAAATCAAAATGTTTTTGGACATATATGTTCCCCTTTTTTCCTTTTTCTTTTATTTTTTTATTTCTTTTAATTTTCAACTTCGATATTAATTTTAAATCTTATTTTCACTTTTCTTTTCTTTTAATCTCATATAAAATTTTCAAAATCTAATTTTTTTATTTTAATTTATCCCTACTATTTCCTGTTGATTTTTTAATTAAATATTTTAAACACATAATTTTGTTTTCAATTATGGCTAAATAAAAACATAAACAATAATTTAAAACACCCCATTTGTTAAACTATCAATATTATAATAATTATTATTTTTAAAATTATAAACTCTCTTTAAACGATCAGTGATCAATACGGGGTAATGATCCCCATTCTTGTCTCGTATGGAGTACTCATACTAAAAATTAGAATTAAGGATCCTTGGATTGATTTTCATTATTTATTATAAACCTTCCTCCGCTCAGGTTTTAGAGGGCGGTCCCCCTTAATATAATGTGTACATTAATTTCAGAATCAAATATACGTCTAAATTGATTTAATTATTAATTTAGGTGTATAAATAGTTTTTTTTTTCAAATAAATATATTTTTGAAAAATGTGTATTTTATGCTCCAAAAAAATTGGAAGGGCCCATATTAGCAAAATTTGGCCCAAATATTAAAAGCTGTCACGGGTTGGCGGTATTGGACGCTAAATGGGCCGGGCCGAAAACACAGCCCAAAGTGTCTACTACCACATTATGTCATATTTATACATAAATTTAAATTTAGGAATCAATCATAAAAATGGGTTAAATTATAAATATATTTTTTTAAATTTTGAAAATAGGAAAAAAAAATATAAACAAAGGTGAAAAACCGAAAACACCCCTCTCAATTGATTGAAAGAGTGTGTAATTGGTTGGGTTAAATTGGAAAAATCTTTTTAGACGGAGCTGAATTTTTGAATTGGCTGAATCAGCAACATGAATAGAGTTTATAACATAACTTTAATTCAATCTTCTGTTTTCGAGTTGGGTTTATTTGGGTTGAATTAAAAAGTTTTTTTTTTAATTATTTAAAAAAATCATATTTATATATTATATTGGGTTAATAATTAAAATTTCATCCCGTTTAGATAGCAAACATCTACAAATTACAATACATCAACATCGGTATTTGATACGTAGGGTTGACCTAACAAAAAAAAATGTTAACCTGTCAAGCGAACCAAATTCTAAAAAATTCTAACCTAATCCATATTTGGGTTAGCCAGTCTGAGTTAATAAAAACGCTCGTACTAAATTGATTTAAATTATTTTTAAATTATTGTTTCTTTAATTTAAGCCATGGAATTCTATTGCCTCAAATATTTGTATTTGGAAAGAAAAGGAAAGTCTTGGATTGGACGTTAGCTTTTTTATGCCCTTAAGGTACGTTAAATGAGCTCTTGCCAAATAAGCCAAGTAACATTTTTCCACTTACACCTCTTATTTATTTATTTATTTATTTTTAATTTTTGAATAAGACATTAATTATCGTCCATCGATGGTTCTAGGAATGTTTCATTTTACTCTCTAACTAAGATAGGATCTCACAATAAACTCCCCTTAGTAAACAACGTCTTCGTTAGCACACCATTCGATGTCTACTTCTGTTACCATTTATAACAGTTCGAAACTACCGCTAACAAATGTTGTCCACTTTGGTTCCCTATGTATCGCGTGTTAACCTCATAGTTTTAAAATGCGTCTACTAGAGAGAAGTTTCTACACTCCTATAAAAAAAATGTTTCATTCCACTTTCCACGGGTGTAGATCTTGACCTTTATAAGTGCCGGAAAAATGCCAAAATAAAGTGGATAGTAACCATTTTCGTCGATATGAACAATCTTCATTTTTTTTTTTTTATATTTTTTCTACTTGTAAATATTCAAATATATTTTTTTGGCATGAAATTTATTATTATTATTATTCAACCAATTTCAATAAAATATAAGTTTCTAAATTTAAAATTTATCAAATTTGAGAGACTAAAATATAATAAAATTTAAAATATGGGATTAAAACGTAATTTTAATCAATAATTAAAAAATAATAATAATGGGTTAGTTGGGCATGAGATGAGGACAGGGCACCATAATTGAAGCGGAGCCTTTGAATCTTCCACGCAATACATTTTCGGGCATTCCTCAGACGTGGACACTCATTACGTGTCATGATCCCGCCTCACGTGGCGCTACCTCCCACCCGCGTTTCACCAGCCATACGATCTCCAGAACGACACATCGAAAGACAGAAACCGAACTCCCCGGCCCTCACCAACCAACTTTTCCTCTCCACATGTCGTTTAGTTTGTGGCTTTCTTAAGGGGTTTTAGACCTCTTAGTTAAATGATGCATGTGTGTACACTTCAAAACACTTTTTTTCGGGAACAGATTCGGTAGAGACAGGGTGGGACCTGTAACTCAGAGGACTAGAGCATATGGCTATGAACCACAGAGTTCGACAAAATACTTTCTTAATTAGAATGCATCAACAAAACTGACCTTCTATATGGATTATTGGATCCCATTATTTCAATTTTCATCTAACATTTTTAAAAAAAAAACTTATAAAAGATGGTCGATAATTTTATAACATTAAAAATAATATAGTTATTTTTTAAATGAATAGCAAAGTACATATAGGGATATTTTTGTAATTTGGCTATCCTATAGACATAATAAGACAATATGACAAAACAAAGTATAAATTTTCGAGTTTTTTAATTTTAAAAAAATGTCCAATAAATTTTACCTTAATCTTATTAGTTATATAACTAAGGAAAAGAAAAATAAAAAGAAAAAGTTACTAATTCTCAATCTATTTATTTACGTAATTATTGTATATAAATGATTTGTTTTTTTTTTTTTTTGAAAATGGAAATAGTCGGTAATAATAAGTAAAAAAAAGAACGAATAAAAATTAATTATAAAAAATCAAGCATTGACCTATTTTCGTCATTTTAGTTAATTAATTTGCCGAACTTTTTTATCCATCAACGATAATAATAAATTACGAGAAAACAAACATAATTTTTAAAAATTAACAAAAAAATAATAATAATTTCAAAAGATCAACAATTTTTTTTTTCATAATTTATTTACAAATTAACACTTTTGAATCCTTACCCAAATTTTTTAAAAAAAAAAAAAAATTCACCTAATTTTTTTTAATTAAATAAAAAAACAAGGAGATTTATTAAATTTTAAAAATAAAAAAATCGAATAATTATTAAATGGGTTGGAGAAATTTAAAAAAAAAAAAAATCTATAAAGAGGGAAACCTTCCAACCCGACCACGTGGCATGAACAATAATGTACATCCAGGTCATCGCATAGGTGGATTAGACTCCAATGGTCAGTTTTGATGCCAACTCTGCCAATGATCAAACCACGTAGGCCCTCATCTCTAATTTGGCCAAATTGTTGAACAAAAGAGATCGCCAACTTAATACACCTCCATTCCACACAAAATCAATCTTATCTCCCTAATTACTATTAACCGTCGATAACTATTAAACTAAAAAACACGTAGCAATAAAAATTACGATTTTACCCCTTAAATTTAAGAATTTTTTAAATTTTTTTTATAGGTCCTTAAATTTTAAATAATATTATATTCACATAGAACTAATTAAATAGAAAATTAAAAATTAAGAAGTTTATTAAATTCAATAATGAAAGTGAAATATAACTAAATTACTATAAAAGTAATATAATTATTGAGTTTTATTCCATTTATATTTCCCTTATGCCAAACACTACACAAATATTTAAATATTTTATTTGAATTAAACAAGACCAGGAGTATTAGGGAAAATAAATAAATAAACAAATAATTGAGAATTCCACGTGTACTACACGTGGCCCAATTGCAAGGAAGACAAAAAAATATGGTCGTTTCGCAGTCCGTTTGAGAACTCTATAAATACTGCCGTTACTAATTCTATTTCAAATTCGATTAAAAACACGAGAAGAAGAAGAAGAAAATTCGTAAAAAATGGCGCTCAGATCAATGAATCAGATCGGTACTCTGTTTCCGGCGGCGAAATGCAACGATCATTCACTTCGAGCGAAGGTTCCGGCGAGTACGGCGGCGGTGAGGACGGTTCGAGCGGTGGGGATTTTGCGATCTAGGGTTCAGAATCGCGAAAGAGAGGAGGTGGTGATTTCATCGTTTGACAGATTCCGGCGGAGTTTGGCGGTGTCGTGTAGAGCTTCGACGGCGGCTGAGGAGGCGGAGAAGGGAGGGGAAAGGAGAGGAGTGGCGGTGTTTGTGATGATGCCGTTGGACTGTGTGACGATGGAGAATAAGGTGAAGAAGAGGAAGGCGATGGAGGTGAGTTTTCAGGCGATGAAAGGGGCGGGAGTTGAGGGGGTTATGGTGGACGTGTGGTGGGGATTGGTGGAGAAGGAGAGGCCCGGCGAGTACAACTTCGGCGGTTATGAGGAGTTTTTTGCTATGGCGGCGAAATACGGCCTCAAAGTTCAGGCCGTCATGTCGTTCCATCAATGCGGCGGGAATGTCGGCGATTCTTGCACGTAACTACTTCCGCCTCCCGTTAATTTGTTTTTGTTTAATTTTAAACGGTAATTAAAGAATCTTAATTTTTAAATTAAAAAAATGAAAATTTATAAACTTTTAAAAATCTGAAAAATATTTAATAAATTTATAATTTTATATTTAAATTTTAGTTTCATATATTTAAATTTTAGAAACTTATCATACATATAATTTAAAGAAAATCAACGTTATAGAATTATTATATTAATTTTAAAAAAAATTAATGATATTGTGGACTCTAATTTAAAGACAATCGCGGGACGTGACCCTCCCCTTCTGATTTTTGTCCACTTCCACTTTGAGAAGTGAGTATAAGTTCTGAAAGCTGCTTAAGCATGATTATTCTCTAAATTAGCTGAACTTTTATAATTTTTGACAAATTATTGAATATTATTGAATAGTGTTATACAAAACTTATTTTATTAAAATTTATT